CTGTCAGGTCTCATTATTCTTTCAGTATCTTCTACAGTCTGAAGTTGAAGCTGCTCTGGACATTCAGTGGACTCCAATTGGGAGCATTGGTTATCCACCTCAATTACAGGTGAATGTGAGAGGTCCTCACTGTCGGCCTCCTCTAACAGACTGTCCGGCAATATTTGTGATGATGCAGGAGCCCCAAAAATAGTATCACCTAGTTGGATAGGTGACTGCAAAGTTTCACTGTATGGAGGATGTGAAACATGAGAATCAGAGCACTGTTGTTCAAAAGACACAGAACTCCGAGTGATGATCCGATGTGAAGAACTGTCAGGTCTCGTTAGTCTTTCAGTATCTTCTGCAGTGTGCAGTGTATCCCTTTCAACCAATAGTATGCCGGTAGGATTAGGTACTTCAAGTAAAGTGGTCGGAGATTGGTCCTCCTTTCCGGAATGCACGCCAGTAAGATCAAGAATGGCACATTCCAAAGCACTTTTCTGCTGCTGCTTCACTGGTGCACTGTCAGGGTTCAAATATCCTGATTCCACACCATCAAGCAATAATCTGCCCATAGAACGAGGAACTTGAGAATAGCTGGTAGAAGATGGGTCTTCGTTTAAGGGATGCGCCTCAGCAAGATCAAGATTGGCACCTTCCAGAGCACATACTGGTTGCTGCATCGTCTGTTCACTTGCAGAATTCATGCAAACTGATTCAACACCATCAAATTGAAGTTTTTTCGGCTCAACCGACAGATAAGTTTCAGGGAGTGCATGGCACACACTGCTTGTAACTTGCACTTCAAAAGAACTTCTAACAGAAACCTTGACATTATTATCATAACTGACAATCTGGTTTTGAGAACAATCTAACTGAACTCCTTGATTTCCAAGATCACCATCTTTACTGCACTTGACGAATTCAGTTGATCTATCCTGGTTGGCATAAAAACCTTTCTCCTGACCTGACAAAGAGGCCATTGTTCCAGCATTGTTTTCACCATCACCACATGGTTTGGAGGATAATGATGCAGTTGTTTTGTTCGAACCTGCAGTTGCAAGTTCAGACCTCTGCATCCTGTCTTGCATAACATCACTGGTTCCACTATTTGTAGCTTGACCCTTCTCACGCGAGCGATCTTCAATATGCCGCTGCCTTGACCTGGAACGCTTTACCACAGAGAACATGTTGACATCAGAATTAGCCTCAACAATCTCCTGGTCAACTGAAACCTGTTTTTGCTGAGGCACTTCATGTTGGTTAGTATCCATGGTGTCACAAATAGTGTCTAGACCAGCATATCCATCTGGAACCACCACATTTCTGAGTGAAATACTAGGCACAGCTGGTGGCTGAAAGACAGTTCTGTTGGTTGCTGGTGTAGTAATCTGGCTTCCAGCGAAAAGTAACCCCGGAACAATTGGTTTACCATTTAGCTCTACAAGTAAACAAGCAGTTCAGTTAACGAATAGAAGGTGTCAAAAGCAATGTGCAAGGGAGTAAAATCGGACACCAATGGTGAACAAAAGGCTAAATAAACAAAGAATCGGTGTATTTACAGCAAATTTCAGAATCACTAGCCAACCAGTTAGTAACTCACGAGTGCTTATAACCAGCACCCTGCAGGTGTGTCCCTCTCGGGTTCTAATAAACAAACAAGTTATAGGACCAACAGCACCAAACTGGCACACTCGAAATTCCCCAATCCAACACATAAAAGGATTTCCCAACAAAACAAAATGGCTAATCCTGTACGAATGTTGAACCACGCTAAACCAAAGACATATCAGATGGCCCACTAAAATGAGCCTGGGTGGTTATTTGCATTAAACTGCATCCGTAAATAACGCAGTACTAGTTATGTAGGCTGCTAATTATGTGGGATTAACTAGCAATCTGCACCTTCGGTGCTTGTTCTTAGGAAACTAAGTACTTGCGGATTTGTAGGAAGCAAATCTTTTGGTCTCAGGAAACTACTTGCAGTTTGGAGGAAGCAAATCTTTTAACTAATTTTATTCAAACTTGCTTCAGATGCAACTAATACTAGAGGAACAGGCGCGCTTTGCCGCACCCACTTGTAGCTTCATTTAGCCTTTCTTCTCACAGATAACAACACGACCGCAATCATGAAATCGCCGCAGAGTTACACAGTATGTCACAAACTTACAGTACATCACATGAATAGTTTCTCTAAACAGAAAACCATTTCATTAGGACTCTGGACAACAACAGGGTCAACTCCCTGACCATCTTCCTCGCTGTTAAACATTGACGATTAGTAATCAGCAGGGACACAATTGTGATAGTTCAAGTTCTTTTTAGTTTGCCGTAAGTAACCACTTGCTTGAAAATTACAGATGCACTATAGGGTGAGATGTGTCATACACAAAATGTAAAGAACTATTAGAACAACACAAAATGTAAAGATCTATTAGGATAACATACAGCTGAAAAGAACCTCAATTTGGGCTAAAATGCATTCTACAACTTTCTGTTGCACCGAATACCAGGTATAAAATCTTGAATGCTCTTACAGAATATGGCAAGCAAGCAGGTGGTAATGAAAGCATTGGCAATAGATGAGCAGACAACAACAGAAAAATAGCTAAGATCCATCATTCAACCAGCAATATAACACAAATTGCACCAGCTAAAAGGAAGGTCTACTGAAGAATATGAGCATATGGCATGGCATCTTCTAGTTCATTTATTCATTGACACCTAGAACCATTACAAGTTCATATATCTGGGGTTAGCAAGGAAACAAAATGGTTTCTGTAGACACAATTTAGAGGAGAAACATAGTACAGGCATACCTCACAAAGTCACAATCAAAGCAAGACGATGCTACCATCTGTGAAGTTTCTAATCATAGCCTGACAAAAGTCTGTTCCACTAGTTTTCGAACACTCATGTTTTCTAGCTCCATTAGTATTCCGCAAGAAAAGCAATATAAAGCATACATCGCCCAAAATGAACATCTTAATAACCAAATTAGCATCAGGACATTGTCGATCTCCTTAGCACAACCAACAGGCCCTTGGCATGCATGGCCATCGATCCTATTGTTTTTGCTATAAAACTAATACCTGGTCCAGATTTACTGCACACGGCTACTTTAGACAGGGTGGAATTTGTTGCAGGGAAGGTAGCATGAGCAGGTGCGTAGGTTCGCTTCCACAGAACACCACATTTTCTCCTCGTGTTAGCTAATACGGGGAAATCTAGGCTTGCATCACCAATGAACTACTCAATCCCCTACCCAACCCAACCCAATCCGACCCTGGCGAGGGAGCGGCCAGAGCGCCAACAAACATGGGGAGGGGTGGGGGGAGGGGACACGCACCTTGCGGACCGGCGGCGCAGGAGGGGAGGAGCCACGGCGGGGGGCGGTGGCCGGCGGCGAGGAAGGCGCAGGCGAGGGACTCGGCGTGGGAGTCGACCTGCTGGCGCATCTGCCCGGTGACCCAGTCCCGGCGCTCGAAGACCTGCATGAAGAGGTTCTCCATGGCCGGCTGCCGGAGCGGTGGCGGAGGTGGCCGGGGGCGGAGGAGGGGTGCGGGGGCTAGGGTTTGGGCATGGAGATGGATCGGCAGCGGGGTGGGGAAGAGAGATGGGCGACGAAATTTTTGAATCGGGGCGAGGGGGAGAGGGAAATCTGATGAGCCAGACAGCCGCAAGCGGGCGGTCCTCCAGTGCCTGGTGGGTTTTTTTTTAGAGAGAGACATAAAGCTGGGATTATATTCACTCACTGCAACCACGTCATGTCTTTACACATAGCATCCTTTAACACATCATCAAGGGGGCAGTTACCAACACAATCGTTTACCCGTATCTGACCCATAAGATAAATCCAATGATAAATTGGCCGATATGCTAATAAACCGGATGATTTACCTCTTATCTTGGGTCGACCGATAAATTACTGATAAGTGATATCCTCAACATTGGCTAAAATACATATGCACACAAGCATTAGCCAATCTACAACACCACACAAGTTTACATTTTACAAAAAGGGAGCATAACCTGAATCAAGCTATTTTACCATGGATTGAGCGGTCCACTTCTGTGTTGCTTAGCTTTGAGAGAGACTGCCTTGACATGAGCCATCTCCAGAATGATTTGTGGTAAACCAGGCCTGCTCGCCATCTTCACATATCAGTTTGTACCTATCGCTCGATCCGGCAATGAAGACGTCACCAGTGTCCAGAAACCCCGTCTGAATTAATCTTAACGAAAGACACCATCTTCCTTGAAGACTGGCACGTTTCGATTGATTTTTCAGATTTTAAGCTTGCTCATTCTTCAGCCAGGTTTGCGTCCACCCCGGACACACGTGGCAGTCACCGAACCACCACGCGTTGGTCCTTTTTAAATGCCACGCGTGGGGGGCACTCCTCTTCCTCCCTCTGCCCCGCCACCCGACAACAACCCTAGACACCCATCGACGCAACATGTCGTGGAAGTGGATCTTCGAGAAGACCGATGATACGTCTCCAACGTATCTACTTTTCCAAAACACTTTTGCCCTTATTTTGGACTCTAACTTGCATGATTTGAATGGAACTAACCCGGGCTGACGATGTTTTCAGCAGAATTGCCATGGTATTATTTTTGTGCAGAAATAAAAGTTCTCGGAATGACCTGAAAATCAACGAAGATTATTTTTTGAATATATTAAAAATACTGGAAGAAGAATCCACGTCAGGGGGGCACACCTGTAGGCGCGCCCCTTGCCTCGTGGGCCCCCTGACGCTCCACCGACCTCAACTCCAACTCCATATATTCGTGTTTGGGGAGAAAAAAATCAGAGAGAATGATTCATCGCATTTTACGATACGGAGCCGCCGCCAAGCCCTAAACTCTCTCGGGAGGGCTGATCTGGAGTCCGTTCGGGGCTCCGGAGAGGGGAATCCGTCGCCATCGTCATCATCAACCTTCCTCCATCATCAATTTCATGATGCTCACCGTCGTGCGTGAGTAATTTCATTGTAAGCTTGCTGGACGGTGATGGGTTGGATGAGATTTATCATGTAATTGAGTTAGTTTTGTTAGGGTTTGATCCCTAGTATCCACTATGTTCTGAGATTAATGTTGCTACGACTTTGCTATGCTTAATGTTTGTCACTAGGGCCCGAGTGCCATGATTTCAGATCTGAACCTATTATGTTTTCATGGATATATGTGAGTTCTTGATCCTATCTTGCTAGTCTATAGTCACCTATTATGTGTTATGATCCATTAACCCCAAGTGAAAATAATCGGGGATACTTACCGGTGATGACTGTAGTTTGAGGAGTTCATGTATTCACTATGTGTTAATGCTTTGGTCCGGTACTCTATTAAAAGGAGGCCTTAATATCCCTTAGTTTCCAATAGGACCCCGCTGCCACGGGAGGGTAGGACAAAAGATGTCATGCAAATTCTTTTCCATAAGCACGTATGACTATATTCGAAATACATGCCTACATTACATTGATGAACTGGAGCTAGTTCTGTGTCACCCTATATTATAATTGTTGCATGATTGATCGCATCCAACATAATTCTCCGTCACCGATCCAATGCCTATGAGTTTTCCATATATTGTTCTTCGCTTATTTACTTTTCCATTGCTACTGTTACAATTACTATAAAACCAAAACTGTTACTGTTACTTTTGCCACCGTTACCACTACTATCATATTACTTTGCTACTAAATACTTTGATGTAGATATTAAGTTTCCAGGTGTGGTTGAATTGACAACTCAGCTGCTAATACTTGAGAATATTCTTTGGCTCCCCTTGTGTCGAATCAATAAATTTGGGTTAAATACTCTACTCTTGAAAACTGTTGTGATCCCCTATACTTATGGGTTATCAAGACTCTTTTCTGGCGCCCTTGCCGGGGAGCATAGCTCTACTCTTTGAGTCACTTGAGATTTATACCTGCTGATCACTATGAAGAACTTGAAAGATCAAAGAACCAAGATTTTTCCCTCAACTACGAGGGGAGGTAAGGAACTGCCATCTAGCTCTGCACTTGATTCATCTTCTGTTTTGAGTAAACTTGCGACACCTACACATGCTATTGATTCTGATAGGTCGCATGTTATTGATGATGCCACTTCTGCTTTGCATGATACTTATGATGAAACTGCTTCTATGCTTGATACTACGGTGCCACTAGGTGAATTTTTTGATGAACAACTTGCTAGTGCTAGAGAGAATGAAATTATTGAAACTGATAATATTGATGAAAGTGATGATGAAGATTCTCCCCCTAGATATGAATTGTCTATTGTGCCTGAGGGTTATGTTATGGATGAAGAGACTGCTAGAGACTTCTTAGCTTGCAATGATAGATCTGATCTTAAGAAATTATTAGCTAAGCTTAAAGAAAAATCTTTGAATGCTAGAATGAAATATGACCCTGCTTTTGCTACTTCACCTATCTTTATTACTGATAAGGATTATAATTTCTCTGTCGATCCTGAGATAATTACTTTGGTTGAATCTGATCCTTTTTATGGCTATGAATCTAAAACTATGGTGGCACATCTTACTAAATTAAATGATATAGCCACCCTATGCACTAATGATGAGAAAACTCGCTATTATTACATCCTTAAGTTGTTTCTGTTCTCATTAAAGGGTGATGCTAAAACATGGTTTAATTCTCTTGATCCTGGTTGTGTGCGTAGTCCCTAGGATATGATTTATTACTTCTCTGCTAAATATTTCCCCGCTCATAAGAAACAAGCCGCTTTAAGAGAAATATATAATTTTGTGCAAATTGAAGAAGAGAGTCTCCCACAATCTTGGGGGAGGCTCCTCCGATTACTTAATGCTTTGCCTGATCATCCTCTTAAGAAAAATGAAATACTCGATATCTTTTATAATGGACTAACCGATGCTTCCAGAAACCACCTGGATAGTTGTGCTGGTTGTGTTTTTGGGGAAAGAACTGTTGATCAAGCTGAATTGCTATTGAATAATATGTTGACTAATGAAAATAATTGGACACTTCCTGAACCAACTCCTAAGCCAACTCTGAAGAAAAGGGGTATTATATTTCTCAGTCTTGAAGATATGCAAGAGGCAAAGAAATCTATGAAAAAAAAGGTATTAAAGCTGAAGATGTTAAGAATTTAGCACCTATTGAAGAAATACATGGTCTTGATAACCCGAAACAGGTATTAAAGGTAAATTCTCTATATAGATATGATAAAGCTGAAATCTTGCCTATTAAGTTTGCTAGCCAATGCTTAGATGAGTTTGATAATTTTATGGTTAAACAAGAACATTTCAATGCTTATGTTGGTAGACAATTGAAACATAATGCTTATATGATTGAACACTTGAGTGATTATATGGCTAATGTAAAGGGTGAACTTAAACTTATTAGTAAACATGCTTCTATTGTTACCACTCAAGTAGAACAAGTACTTAAAGCTCAGAATGATTTGCTTAATGAATTAAATAATAAGAATGATAATGTTGTTAGAGTTGTGACTAGAGGGGGTAAAATGACTCAGGAACCTTTGTATCCTGAGGGCCATCCTAAGAGAATTGAGCAAGATTCTCAGAGAACTAATGTAGATGCACATAGTCCTTCTAAGAGGAAGAAAAAGAAAAATGATAGGACTTTGCATGCTTCTAGTGAATCTGTTTTTGACACACCCGAGAATCCCAATGATATTTCTATTTCTGATGTTGAAACACAATCTGGTAATGAACATGAACCTAGTGATAATGTTAATAATGATGTTCATGTTGACGCTCAAACTAGTAATGATAATGATGTAGAGATTGAACCTGTTGTTGATCTTGATAACCCACAATCAAAGAATCAACATTGTGATAAGAGAGACTTTGTTGCTAGGAAGCACGGTAAAGAAAGAGAACCATGGGTTCAGAAACCCATGCCCTTTCCTCCTAAACCATCCAAGAAAAAGGATGATGAGGATTTTGAGCGCTTTGCTGAAATGATTAGACCCATCTTTTTGCGTATGCGTTTGAGTGATATGCTTAAAATGAATCCTTATGCCAAATACATGAAAGATATTGTTACAAATAGAAGAAAGATACCGAAAGCTGAAATTTCCATCATGCTTGCTAATTATACTTTTAAGGGTGGAATACCAAAGAAACTTGAAGATCCAAGAGTACCAACTATACCATGCTCCATTAAAAGAAACTATGTTAGAACTGCTTTATGTGATCTTGGAGCCGCTGTTAGTGTTATGCCTCTCTCTTTATATCGTAGACTCGATTTGAATAAGTTGACACCTACTGAAATATCTTTGCAAATGGCTGATAAATCAACTGCTATACCTGTCGGTATTTGTGAGGATGTGCCTGTTGTGGTTGCAAACGTTACTATTTTAACGGACTTTGTTATTCTTGATATTCCCGAGGACGATAGTACGTCCATTATTCTTGGAAGACCCTTCTTGAATACTGCAAGGGCTGTTATTGATTGCAACAAAGGCAATGTCACCTTTCATGTTAATGGTAATGAGCATACGGTACACTTTCCGAGGAAACAACCTCAAGTCCACAATATCAGTTTGTAACATCCCAAAATTCTAAATTTTGGAATGTTATATTAAATAAATATTTATGAATGTTTGTTTGATTTTTGTGTGACTGATTGTGTGAAATTGAGTGGCATTTGGAAATTTTAGAGACATTTGAATTTTATTTGAATTTGGATTCAACTTGGCATTCGAAATTTATTTC